ATGTTATCAATCAAATACATGTTATCAAACACATATTAAACCATATAATTTGGTACCTGAGGGTTTGATACCACTGTTAGGAATCGATCTACCCAACGCAGCGGAAAAACAAAAATTAAAAGGATGAATCGATTCCTTTTATGCCAAGATCCGGGTATAGATTATATAGTTTACATGTTAAATCAAAATTCTGCACGAAATAATATCAATCTAGACAAGGATCAGAGATCTTACGCATGTTTGGAGGCTCCTTCAAATGTCTCTAAATCTATTTCGCTACCGATTCAATGTAGAAGTGAACGAATGGTGATTCACATGAAGACAATCCGAAGGACCAAAGAGGGATTTGCTAGATCCACTAATTAGCTTCAAGAATAAAATTGAATCAAAGAAAAATCTTTGATTCAAAACCAAGGGGAGAACGTGAGAGGGTAAGAGTAAAGGGGCTGCCTCTTTTCTTTCAATCATGAATGAATTAAATTTTTCTTTAACACACATGCACTTATATAGTGCATGTGGTAAAGCCTTATTCCTATAAGGAATAGGCTTGGGCTCCAACCCTAATCCACCCTTGTATCCAAACACCCTTGTTATGGTATTTTATTTTTAATTAATTATTATTATAATTAAAATCAATTAATATATTTATAAAATATATTAACATTTAATTAATAATAATAATTCATTTAAATATATGCATACATATATTTAAATATAATCTCACTAATTCAATTTTAATATTAAATTAAATATAGGCAAAAACCTCAGCAAATTTAATTGCACTATGAGATTACCAAAATACCCTTTGGTCTAAAAGACGAAAATACCCCTTGTACGAACTGATTCTTAAATTATCTTCTAAGTGTGTGACTCGTAGGCTCCCCATCATACTGGTAGTGAGTAGTATCGCGATTAACACCAATTAATTGTCCCACTACACATAGACCAAGATTGACCCCTAACAAGACATCATGTCCACCCGATAGATTCAGATTCAGCAAAATAGCTACTGTTAGAGTAGATGCCCTAGAGCCAATCAATTATTGTAGAATTGACTCTTTGTAATAATGTTCATTAATCAATAAAAGGCATTTTATTCTATATCGCGTAAATCATTATTATTGCAATATGTATTGATATATGTCCTTAGAATGGTAGAGCCGTGACGAGGGTATCAAGTGTTTCAAATCTTGATAGTGAGAACCCTATGAGCACATATGGTGGCCATTCTAGAAACGTCCGTAGCCCCAGTATTATTCTGAACTAAGGGCACAGATAATACGGTAAGGCTATCATAGTGTTGAACGACCCTGTCGAAAGGCAGTGACTGATCTCACTTGTCAAGGTTGTTTGGTGACAACCTGGTGCAACACATGGGTGTTTGTTGTAGGCGATTACACCACAGCAAGTTCACTGGACTGACCCACCAGAGGATTCCATATGGATGGTAACCCCAGTGTCTATGGAACAAATCCTCTAACGAATGGTGGTGCATGTGATCCTTAGACTTGAGATCACCGGAGCGCCTTGTGCACCGATTGGTGTAGTTTGACACTAGCCTAACGCAGTTCTTTTCAGAGCTGTCAATACGGTGGTGATTGGCTGCATCAAGGAGTGTATCAAGACTATGGTGGATTGACAGAGGATTCATCACTCCCGGGTACGGGAGAAAGTTATCTCACGGCGCAATTCAGTATATGGCAATGACACTAAAACTGTGGCCACAGTGGGATTGAGTTGTTGCTCTATCCAGTTTATAATACGGGTCATTGGTCCAGAAACTGAATAAATAATATCGAGAGTAACCGAAGGTTGACACTATTTCTATGCCTTCGTCTCGTCGAGATAACGTATGATGAAAGGATCGAATTGCACGGTAACCATATCGTTGACAGGTAGCTACTTTGCTGAATCCGAATCTATCGGGTGGCCATGATGCCTTGCTAGGGGCCAATCTTGGTCTGTGTATTAGTGAGACGATTAATTGGTGTTAATCGCAATACTATACACTGCCGATATGATGAGGAGCCTAAGGGTCACACACATAGAAGACAATTTAAGATGCAAGAAGAAAGAAGGGCGTTTTCGTCTTTTAAGGCGAAAGGGTATTTTGGTAATTTCACAGTGCAATTAAATTTGCTGAGGTCGTAGCCTTTATTTAATTTGTTAGAAAAATTAAATAAGTGAAATTACGTTTAAATGTGTGTTCGCACATATTTAAATATATTATCATTATTGTTAAATGTTAATTTATATATAAATATATATATTAATTGATTTTAATTGAGATAATGATGGAAATTAAAATAAATCAAATTGGGAGTGTTTGGCAACATGGGGCGTTTGGGTTGGAGCCCAAGCCTATTCCGTATGGGATTAGGGCAAATTGTTTTTAAATATAAAAGGAAAAATGTGTGTGATTTGGATTAAGGGTTTTTTCTTTTGAAAACAAAACACACAGCCCCTTTTGGAAAAGCACTCCCACGGCAGTAACTTTTGTGTGCCAAATCAATTCAATTGATTTTCTTTTCTTCTTAATCTTGAAGCCAAAGAGGATCTAGCAAATCCCTCTTTGGTTCTTTTAAGATTGTCTTCGTGTGGACTACGCAGGTTCGATCCTACACTTGGATCGGTAGCAAAACGTTCGACGACAAATTTTGGAGGAGCCTTCAACGTGCATTTGTTTCTCTTAACTCATGTTGTATATTTATGCAGATTTTAATTTAATATAAATTGTTAAAATCATACCCTTGATCTTGGCTCATGTAAACGATCCTGTTATATTTTATTTTTCGTTTCCGCTGCGTATTCGGGACCGTTTACTAACAGCTACCTATCAATGATATTGTTACCATGCAATCAAATCCTTTCATCATTTGTTATCTCATCGAGACTGAGGTACAGAAATGGTGTCAACCTCAGTTACTCTCGATATCTTTGCATTCAGTTACTAGACCAATGATTGGATAAATAAATTAGATTGAGCAACAACTCAATCCCACTGTAGCCATAGCTTTAGTGTCTTTGCTATACACTGAACTGTGCCGTGAGATAACTTCTCCTATACCTGGGAGTGATGAATCCTATGTCGATCCACCGTAGTCTTGATGTACTCTTCGATTGGATAAATAAATTGGATTGAGCAACAACTCAATCTCACTGTAGCCATAGCTTTAGTGTCTTTGCTATACACTGAACTGTGCCGTGAGATAACTTCTCCTATACCCGGGAGTGATGAATCCTATGTCGATCCACCGTAGTCTTAATGTACTCCTTGATGCAGCCAATCACTACCGTATTGATAGCTCTAAACAGAACTACGTTGGAATAGTGTCAAAATACACCAATCAGTGCATAAGGCACTTCGGTGGTCTCAAGTCTGCTATTAATATATTCACCATATATGACTCCAACTACTACAATTCTTATTAAAACAACAATATCTTAGACGTACTACAAAGAACACCAAAACCTTGGCAAGCGTTCCAAAAAATAAATAGATAATTAGAAGATAATAATGATGGTAACTTCTGAAGCATTTATACCAGTGGCATTTCATGACATCATTTCATAAAACAATGACAGTATTACAATATATACTAAATACAACAAGATAATAAACAAAATCGAAATGAGAAAAACACCAATTTCAGTAGTAGATTTACCGAGAAAATAATCTGCAACACGACTACTAGAACAACAAATAAACAACCTGAGTAGAACAAACAAAATTGTAATAAGAGAGACACCACTTTCAGGAGTAAATTTACCAAGAAAATAATCTGCAATATGACTACCAGGGAAATGAACAACATATTGTCAGCACAACCATCTAACAACAACTTCTTAAAACTATAATAACAAACTCAGAACTCCGTAAGAATAACGTGTACTTTAATCAAAGTTAAAATCGATAACAAATTAATTAGACCAATGTAAAATAAAAAAACGACATTTTCACTGTAACTAAAGAAAATTTACTTTACTTATCTCAACTTTAGTCAACGAGAAAAGACGGATGTGGAAAACGCAACAAATAGACTGGGACAAATACCCTTAATGCCGAAACTAACAAAGAAAACCCTAACTCCCAAAATTTACTTCAAGTAAAATACTAAACATTAAATCCGCATATTTACTTTAAATATCAACAACATTTTAAATGACAACGTTTTTCATCACTTACGAATTTTACAAAGCCAAAACGACTGCGCATTGTAGAACTTTAATATTACCATTTCAGTCTAACAATGTCACTATAATATTGCCGTTTCAACATATACAAACTTAACATAAAAGTGTAAAAGAAGGGAAAATTAAAGATTCCTTCAAAATCTCACTATCAAATACTTAATCTGATAATAGAAATGAATTTGAGACTAACGATTACAAAATCAATAAAATTTCAAATTCAATAATATAAGCAATAATAATTCCATACATAAAATAACATGAATTGGAAACAGTATTTCCAATTCAAGGTGGAAAAAATGTAAATATATAAGTATAATATATTGAAAATAGAGAAATCCTTATAATTTAATTGTAACGATGTAAATGACGGATAAAATTCTCAATTGCGTATTACTTTGAGACCATTTCATTTTGAAATAACATTAATTGACAACAAAAGATCAGCTTGAAGCAACAGAAAGTGAAATTTTACCATATGTACATAATCATGCAGACAAATAATACTTTTCCCATGGGAGAAGATCATCATGCAAGTGTTATGATGTCGACGACCTAAAACGAAAGCATTAGGAGGATGACAACCTAAAACACAACAGACCGATTTTATATATGCTTATTCAACAACATATTATGTAGATATTACATACAAGCAAAACAAAATGTAAAGAAGAGGTACATAGGCTATAGTTTCTGACCACTAAATTACAGTCTCTGCAGTGTTCTAATCAAAGAGCAATAGACCTTGCCTCATCTATTTTCCATAGGCCCTCCTCATACTTATACCTCCTTAGAAAGCCTTCATCACTTCAGGTACGCTGGCACATGATGCACGAGTGCTCAGTACATGTTAAGAACTCACGTGGAGCAGCCTTCTGCAAGATAATTTTATCTAGCTTCTTAATAATTTTTTCGGGCATCGATGGAGGAAGTAGTAGGCAATGTGATATGTTGAGGACTTCCAGGTTTGGTAGGTCATCTAATATAAGCATTAAGGCATCCTTAACTATCATTGAGCATCTCAAGCCCAAAACCTTCAAATTTGGAAGAAATTTGGCTATCGTAGAAGCAAAGAGAACGTCAAAAGGACCGATGACCTTTAGTTCGCTGAAGTTCTTGCAATTTAGGGCTATTTCCTCTATAAGATAAGGGGGATCTGCTATACTAGGCATTGTCAAGGATTCAAGACATCTCCATGTACGAATGGCCTTGCAAATTACATCCTTCTTTATTCTGTTCCAAGCTGGCATAACAAGTCGCCTCAGCTGGGGGCACCTGTAGATAGCAATATATGGTGGGTTACTTCCCAATTCACTATTCGAAAAAGAAAATTAAAGATGATAATCACTGGCATCAAAGGCAATGCCAAAGACTCAGTCAATAAACAATGAGAATAAAAAAAAAAAACCTTTCAGTAAGGTTTTAAACAGAAACATAAAAAAATTACCTTTCAACAATATAAGTAAATTGTTCGTCCCCTACAAACAAATTGAAGTGAAAAATCAAAGGTTCTTATTTATCCCCGGCTGAGACTCAACAATATCTTCAACAAACGAGTCAATGTCTTATCAGAACACTCATCCATGTAAACATATGGTTCTAATAGGATTTTGATGAAATATAATCTCAACATTGACAAATCAAGAGTTTTCCAAAGCAGAGGATCACAGCAAGTTGAACACCATGAATTAAAAACGTTAGCAATCCCTAAAGTCAACTGCAAGACATCAAAAGACAGGAAGATTTTCACCAATATGTCAGTGTCTAAGTCCTCCCATCTTCTTATAGCAGGGTCCTCCCATTTTCTTACAGCAGGGTCCTCCCATCTTCTTACAGCAGGGGCACCCTCTTCCATTTCACCAGTTGTCCAATTATCTCATAGAAGTTTCAAAGAATTAGCACACTTGCATAAGATATCCACATAATCCATGTAGAATGCATAAAATATCATTCAATACATTAATTTATATGAATTTAAAAAGATTCGTACTAATCGAATGTATCAAATACTTAATATACCTACGTAGAGATATAGATGAATGCAAACCGTTTACATTTAAGATAAATTAATACTTAACATTAAATGATTAAGACCAAAAAAATTTACATTCGTTGAATAGAATAATCAATTTTTCTCGGTAGAAACAACAATGAAACAACGATATCTGATATACATGACAGGCTATTCGTAAGTATACGAAATCGTGCAAGTAGTAAAACTCGAGTAAACGAGTGTCGAATCCCAAGGGAACTACCTACCAAGTACCAAACTATTATATTCTATTGCTATTTGATTAAACTGAATTTTAAGAATGAATTTAATGAAAAAGTAAACAAACTAAAAACTAAATAAATGTAGAATTTTATAAACACTTTGATATAAAGATCAATATGACTAAACCTATGGCATAGATTTCGCACCAATTTAATCCTGCGCATTGACATTTGTTGTTAACCTAATTAAGCGTATTCTAAAAGCCAAATCCCCTAATATTCCACTAACTCTCTCTCGAGCAATTAGCAAATTAACCCTTAAGCAACAACCCAAGTTATCTCTAAGTTGGATTTAGGAGCTAAGAGATCATTAAGTTCTATGGAATTTCCCGGAGCTTCACAGATCGCGGTAACCTATCTCTAGCGTTCGCTCAATCTATAGTTTTATTACCTAAGACAAATCAGGTTTCATCTCTCGATCTCAACCCAATCCATGATATCATTCAACTCTCGGGCCCTTGAGAATTGAAAGCATTACACACGATAATAAAACTTAGAATTCATGCTCAATAAAAAATCAACATCAACATCAATACATGTTCTAGAAAAGAGAATTAGTTCATAATGAAAATAAAAAAATCCATCATTCTATTCAATGACATCAGTTCAAGAAAGAAAAAGATAAAAACTTCTCTAATCGGTGAACGAGAGTTCTAGGATCCCCATCTCTAACTTGGTAGCTGTCCTCTTCCTTCTCTCCCAAAAGTCCTCCTTAATTTCTTAAAAACACTCTTTTATACCCCTGGGGTTCTTGGTCGTGCTTAGGAAAAAGATTAGAAAGCTTAGCCCATTCAGATTCGGATTAGGGTAATGAATTAACACATACCCGTGACCCATCGCCGCAGCGGTAAGAATGGTCGCCGCGGCCATCGTTCTTTCTATCCAAAGCGTCTGTAAACTTCAGAATTTGATGAAGTCATCAACATGAACATTGTAGCTCTCTGAATAAGCTTTCCAACCACCAGAATCATCAAATTCTGACTTCTACAGCTCAAGTTATGACAGAAACATCGAGGCATACTCATGATGAAAAATTTCTAGATTTTCCGTAACATCTTCAACGTGCCACAACTCCCTCATTTCGACCCTGATTCTTGTGCCGTTTGTTCCTACGCATCGTGAATCCTATCGACATCATTCTTTTCCCTTCAACAACCTGTTTGAGCCTGAAAACACTCAACATGCACCCGTGATCCCATAAATGGTATTTATGAAAGAAATAATCCAAATTCCACACTTTAAACACATTTTTCCATAAATAAACCAATTAAATCACTAACAAAATATAAACATTCAAGCTCTTATCAATATATAACAAAATCAAATAATTAATGTTCAACAAAATAAAAATACCATCATTAATTTACAAAGGTAGTAAAAATGAGATTCAAATAACAATACTGACTCTCATTAATAATTAACACGATATTATCTACCAAATCAAAACACGTAGAAAACTGTTCGCTATCCAGTATCCACACAAAAATTATATAAACCGCTAAGACCATAATAACAACATAATATCCATATACTTACACCAAAAAAATGTCACGAAAACATCATGATTCCTTACAAAACAACGAAAACACAACCCACAAAACTATTAGAATTACCGTCACAAATTGTGCAACGAATCATTACAAAAGCAACTCAGAATAACAACACCACTCCTCAAGCAATACGGTTGATATAAGTTTTACTAATATCATCGTATTTCGTTAATCTGTTGATTTCATTGTTTTGTTAATCATACAAAAAACCATATTTCGACTCCCAACAATTGAAACGGATTATGCCGAATCACTCGTGTCTTTAGTTCTTAATAGTTTTCTTACACATAAAAACCAAAATACACGTTAGAATCAATATTTAACTGAACCATATTTTTCACACTTTTTTATTATTAATTTCTTGATCATATAGGTAATGATATTATGATTACCAACTGTTGAAACCATTATTTACACTTTTTTTTTATTGTTGTGGATTTTGTGTTTGAAAAACACTTTTTTTTTTTTTTTTTATTGTTGTGGATCTTATGTTTGAAAACCATTATTTACCTTACAATTTACAAGTGCAAATCTCTAAACGAACAAACAAACATAAAGGAAGTCTTACATAGAAGAAACATCTTCAAACAACAACACAAACTACCAGCAATAACAACGGCAGGGCTTTCAATTATGAAGATCCTTGCAGAAGCAGAAAATAAACATGCTTCGCTACTGCTTGGAACACATTTGTTCTTCGTGGAACATGATAGAAATTGAGGATTACAACTACTCATTGCAGCTTGCAAACAAAATGACCAACAAACAATGTATCAAACCGCCGTTGCTCTAATCACTATGCATGACAATAGAGGTATAAAAATTCTGATGAAATTAGTGAAACTAACCAATCAATTCCACAAACTAAAAAATTGCAGGGAAGTATTCAATTCCATGACTCCAACTGTGACAATTCTCATTAGAATGAGAATATTTCGGACTTGCGTCAAAGAGAATCAAAATCGTATACATTGGGATAGATCAACGTCGCCAGAAAATATCACGTATCGAAGATGTAACGTAGATTACCAAATATTATGTATGAAATATGATTTTTACTAAGTTCCTTATATGATTTATTACACATGAAAAATTTAAATGCTTTTTAATTTATTCTGAAAATAGAAGTTAAAACTCGTTGGATTGTCTACACATGTTTAACAAACATCAATCGAAATATATTATAATATAAATTAACAAAATCTATAAATAAGCATTCCTATCGCACATCGAAAAAAACTTCCATTCTATTACCAACCAAATTAAATGCCACGCCGAATGATAACATTCATTTGGAGCACGGTTGCTAAACCATTTTTCACTATCCAACCAATATGTTATAATATCATCATGAAGTTTCTGACTTGAATACTTAACAAATTATTTATTACGCTTTTTTTTTTTTTTTATGTTGTGCAAACGGTTTGCTACCGTTTCGTATCCTCTTATCCAAAAAGTTATTAGCATTTTTTCAATCAACGTGTTTACTTATTATGAGACATCTATTCGTTTTCCCAAAACACCTTTTGTATTCTCAAAAAACAAATAAATAATTTTAAATTTTAAATAAATAATTTACATAATATTAAAGTGATACCAGGACAAATCCAGAGAAGTCATTGACCAGATGTTAAGATAAAATTAATAATTGTACCTCTATAATTATTAATATCAATTGTAGACAGATGTTATTAAATCACTCATGCAAGTTGAGAAGACTACTTGAATATTATATGGTATAATCATACAATCGATATTCGATGTCATATTTTCATGCATATACATTTTTACCACATTTTCCAATCTATTCTTATTATCCTTTTTATTAAACTTGTGCCAATAAGATCTTATTTTTCGTAAACAACCATAGTTATTTATTATAAAATCTTTATTCATATTCCATCTGTTTCTTTTGTATTCCTAATTAAAGAAAACAAATCTAATTATGTTATGATGTGAATCAACAAAAATTTTAATTAAAAAACTAAGATACTCAATAAAACATAAACAATTAAGCAAGACCAATACTGAACCGTATAAATATTTTATATTAATTAATATATTATCACATCATCACAACATCTCTGACTTGAATATTTAACAAAATATTTATTACTGTTTCCTTTAAAACTGTGCCAATAAGATATCATTATCATTAAATCACCATGTTTATTTATTGTTGATTGGTGCATTGTACTATTATGTGATATTTTTAATGTGACATCACTATTAAAAATCAGGATATTAGAATGTGGGTTTAATTATGGGTTAATGTACTTACTTTTTGATTGATGTGTTCGATATTTTAATGATATTTGGTATTGTGATATTTACTGTTGTTCTTAATATACTGCTTTTATTAAAGTGTTGATCAAATAAACGATATTGTTTATGCAGATATTTATACGATATTAATGGAATTCATAAAAGCAGATATTTATTTTGATGAAACACGATCCGTTTCTCACTGGTTTAAAAAAATTCATACTAATCAAATGTATTAAATACTTAATATACCTATATAGAAATTTAGATGAATGCAGACCATTTACATTTAAATTTAATTAATACTTAACATTAAATGATTAATACAACCATCATTAATTTACAAAACTATTGAAAACCAAATTCAGATAACAACACTGACTCTCATTAATAATTAACAGAACATTATCTAAGAAGTTGAAATACAAAAAAAAAAAAAAAAAAAAAATTGGTTCACTACCCACATGCGAACTATATAAACCACAGCTATCATATCGACAACATAATTTTCATATTCTTGCACCCAAAAAACAGTACCAAAACATCATGATTCCTTGCAAAAGAACAAAATAACAACCCACATGTCTATTACAATTACCATTAGAAATTCTACAATGAATCATTGTAAAAGCAACCGACAAAGATGACACCGCTTTACAAGCAATACGGTTAACGTAAGTTTTACTAAAACCATCGTATTTCATTAATCTATTGATTTCATTATTTTCTTAGTCATACAGAAAATGATATTATACAAAATGGTTAAACATACAACTAATAGCAATAGGATGGTGGTTTGTTCCGCAGGAGTCTTATAACGATAATGGTTAACCATACAAATGATTGTGCCGAACCATGTGCATCTTTAACTGTTAATAGTTTTCTAATACACAAAAACCAAAATGTGTTTTAGAATCCATATTTAACTGAGTCATATTTGACACACTTATTTATTCTTAGTCGTTTAATCATACAGGTAATGGTATTGTGATTCCCAACTACATAATTTTTTTTTTAATTATTGCGAATCTTGTGCTTCGAAACCATTATTTACAGTACAATTTATAGGTGCAAATCTCTGAACAAACAAGTAAACATAAAACAAATATTACAAAGAAGAGACATTTCGAAACAACAACACAAACTGCCAACAATAACCACAACGGGATTTTCAATTCTAAAGACACTTGTAGAAGCCGAAAATAAACAAGCTTTGCTATTGCTTGGAACACATTTGTTCTTCATTTAATATGATACACATATGGGATTACAACAACTAATTGCAGTTTGCCAAAAATATAACATGCAAGCAATATATAACACTGTCGTTACTATGCTTACTTTACGTGACAATAAAGGTATACAAATTCTAATGAAATTAGTAAAACTATCTAATCATTTCTACAAACTAAAATATTGCAGGAAAGAATCCAAGTCCTTGACTCCAACTGCCACAATTCTCATTAAAAGACGAATATTTGAGACTTGTAACAAGGAGAATCAAAATCGTATACACTGGGACAGATCAACGTCACCAGAAAATATCACATGTCATAGATGTAACGTGGATTACCAAATAGTCTATATGAAATTTAATTTTTAGTAAGTTTCTTATGTAATTTCTTGCACATGTAATAATTTAAATGCTTTTTATTTTAATTTGAAAATAGAAGTTAAAACTCACTCAATTATCTAAGATTGATCCAAATATTCAATAACTTATAAAGAAAAATTGATCACAAAATTACAATGATCAGTAAAACGTAAACAATATTTAAAAATATTAAACACCAATGATTATGAGAATCTCAAATAATTAAACACGTTCGACAAACAGCAATCTAAATACTGTTCCTATAACATATAAAAAAAAAAAAAAAAATTCCATTCCATTATTGATTAGATTAAATTCCATGCCGAACCACAACATCTTTTGGAAACCCGCCCGCCGAACCATTGTTAACTATTTATTACACTTTCCTTTAATGCGCTACAAATAGTTTGCTACCGTTTCGTATCCCATTACCCAATAAGTTGTCAACACTTTTTCAATCAACGTGTTTATCTATTAGTAGATGTCTGTTAATTTTCCCGAAGCAACTTTTATATTATTTGATACAGTACCCCATAAATTGATTGGGTTGTCATGTTCTCAACTGCTAGACAAACAAGGCAACGAGCAGAAAATAATCCCAAAATCTTTGAATAAACTGTATAGATAGACATGCGTTTTTAAAATCAATATGAGGATTATCGATGTAAATGAACCATCAGAATTTTATACTATGACAAAAATTCCCAGATAAAAATTAGTTCAAATTTATTATGTCTGTTTGTTTCCTATTTCTATTTAGATAAAACAAATCAAGATTTCTAATGTGAAGTAACAAAATTTTAATTACAAGACTAAAATACTGGATAAAACATAAACAATATTTAATATTTTAATAGATATTTAATAACAATATTAGACAAGACTATTTATAAAAATGTTTAAAAATTAAACATATTCAACAAACATCAATCTAAATATATTATAATCTTAGTTAAAAAAAAAAACTATAAATAACCATTTCTATTACAGATTTAAAAAAACTTTTGCAGCATTATTGATTAGACAAGACCGAAGCCGAACTATATGCATGTTTCATAGCCATATTGCCAAACCACAATTAAAAAATTAATAAATATATTATGACATCATCATATCATCTCTAACTTGAATACTTAACAAAATATTTATGGCCCTTCCTTTAAAAATGTATCAATAAGATTTTATTATTAGTAAATCACAATATTTATTTATTATAATATCTCAACATCTTGCTGAACCATCATTAACTACCTAACTAATATGTTGCACACTTAATAAAATATTTATTACGGTTTTCTTTAATATTGTATAGATAGTCTACTAACGTTTCGTATTACCTTATCCAAACAATTATTAACACTTTTTCGATTGATACGTTTATTTATTACCAGTTGTCTGTTCAAATTTCACCTCTTCGTATCCTATTCTCCTATAAATATTACTCTGACATCAGTCACCCATTTAACTTTCTTCAGATACTATACGCTTTAATTGTTCATTTTTTCTCCACAACTTAATTCGAAAATGGTTGACAAAATATCACAACCAAAAGAATCTGCAATGAATATCAGCAACGACCTCAACAACAATAATTCTCCACCAAGGCAACCAGAAGGTATGAATGTTCCACATCTTTTGTATCCTATATTACAAAATGTCAAACAAAACGATAATACATATTTGCGGGAATATAAAAACCATTAAAAAAAAAAAAACTTTTTTGATATGTCGAGAATTCATCTCATAATTATATTTATAGATTCATGTTATCTTTCCATATATTTATAAAATTTGATTGTATATTGTTTTTGCAATTGGTTTAGACATTTTTCAAGGAATGTCGGAATTAAGGGAAATTTTCAAAAAAGTTGACACCAATCTGGATGATCTGTATACTGCTAGAGACAAATTCAGAGAAGTCATTGAATAGATGTTAGAAATCATGCAATATGCCATGGATATTATCTATAACATAAACAAAAGAGAGTATGCATATGCACTACAGGAACTGAACAAATATAAGAGAAATATAAAATAAACACCATCTACATCATCCAAACCCACTTTACTGTATGAAAAATCGATGTACTTATTTCTTTTATAATAAAAATATTATTCTCTATGTTCAACTTTATCTTGATTTTGATGTTACCCATTAATTGATTGAAAATTGTTCCTTTAATTGACGCTTGCATTTACTGTTTAGTGAATCTACTAAAAATTCTCCATCTTGACATGTTGGTTTTGATTTAATTCTTCCATCTTCACACATTGGATAAGTATTAATAATAATTATATAACTACATTACATAGTCATTCTAAAAATCTAACCATTTTAAATAAAAACGTATAAACATGGAAGTTAGTCTCTTCATATTCTGTTTCGTAGTTCTACAATTATTAACCCAGAAAATTAATTGAGTTATCATGTTCTCAACTGTAAAACAAACAAAGCCTTTGAATGAACTGTGTGAACAGATGTTTGTTTTCAAACCTTGGCTAGGGATTATTGATTTTAAAGAAATATATGAACCCTATACTGTGAGAAAAAAATTGACCAATCAATGTCAAACTTAAAAATGAATATAATTTGCAGAAATTGAGAAAGCTCAATATAAATTTTAAGTTTAAATAATTGATCTTGACAATATTAATTGATATTAATAATTATAAAAGTACAATTATTAATTTTATCTCAACACAACTCTGTACATGTATAGAATTTATATTTACTTTAAAACTTATATAATTTAACAATTATCATCTCTTAATCTAATTACTTTATTTTGTTAGAATAAATTTGTTTCCAACCTATTTCAAAAACATTAAATAAACATACATGTGCAACGCGCGGGCTCCATATCTAGTGTATATATATATATATATATATATATATATATAAAGCTGAATATCCCCTTTGGTTGTTTGACATGTGACACATTTTGGAACTCGTAGAATTATTCCATTTTGACACATTGGATTGACAACTAAGATTTGTGGTTTAATTAGCCCAATCAAATTCCTTCATCTTGACACACTGAGTTTGTATTTATTGCTTCATATTCTTGACATGTTGGATTTGTATTAATAATTAATAATTAATAATAATTATATTAATAATTAATAATACTACTAATTAGAGCATCTCCAATGGTGCTCTTTATTTTAAAGAGTATCTTTCATATAAATAAAAAGCATTCTTATTGATTTTTAAATATAAAGAATAAAATTTTTATTCAAACTCAATAGACTCATTAAATTTTAGGAGAGAGAATATGTTTTTTTAAGAAAGAAACTTAATAGGAGAGATAAATCATAAATAAAATGCATAGAAACTTGTAATTTATTATTTAAAATTATGATAGAAAGTGAAATTTGACTCTCTAAATATGGAGAGTCGAACTTACTCTTTAATTTATATTTAAAAAATAAAGAATCTATTGAACTCTTGTTTCCATGGATAAACTCTTTATAATAAAGAGTTTAGATCATATAAAGAGCAATTTGAAGATGTTCTTATATAAGTGCATTGTATTAACATTCTAATGATTTAACCATAATGATACTTTAGATTTATGATTGTCATATGATTTAATTTTATTGGTGATGATATAGATAATATTAATTACTACATAGTCAAAATAAATAGACATAAATATTGGGTTACATAATTGCACTCGTGTCATATTCAGTCGTATATATATTGGGCATCCTAAAGATTTCATATTCAGGTAAATACATCTCTAATTTTTTTGTTCTCTTTCTTCGTTTTCTTCCCGTTTTGCACCGTTTACGATCTGGGTTCGGCTTCTTTTGAGTTTCTTCTAATCTGGGTTTCGTTTTATTGATCCATCACCGAGTGCCTTCATTCCTGTAAGTCTTTTCAAAATTTGCTTCTCTTCAATTTGTTTCTGTTTATTAACTATTTCATTTCTGATTATAATTTTCTGCTTTCAAATTCTCTAATTTTTTCTTCTCTTTCTTCGTTTTCTTCCCGTTTGCACAGATTGATGCAGTTTATTCAGCACTTGGTTCTGTGGGTTACAAGAAACTTGCGGTTCACATATCGGAAACTTGGTGGTCATCTAAAGGAGATGAGGGGCAACACTAGGTAATGCAAAGAAGTATAATGGGAATCTAATTAAGTTGATTTCGTCAAAGAAAGGGACACCCATGAAGCCCAATTGTGATTTGAATATTTATTTATTTGCTTTGTTTAATGAAAATATGAAGCCTGGACCCACTTCCGAGAGAAATTACGGTCTGTTTAAGCCTGATGGAACGCCTGTTTATGCGCTGCGGATTAATTCGAGGGGTTCGACTTCTTTTTAGTTTCTTCTAATCTGGGTTTTGTTTCATTGATCGAATTGAATTGGACGCTTAGTTATCGTGACGAAGATGGAGAGCCGTTGATAAATAGTAATACTCCTTTACAAATCATTGATGAAGACGACGATGTAAGTTGAATTTCGCTTCTCTTTCTCTTTTCATTTTCAGTATAGTGGGTGATAAGTTAATTTTCTTTTTAAAAAAAATGATTAGGAGTTTGATTGTGAGTACTGATGTTTTAAGGATTCACAGTTTCTTGCCGCAATCTATTAGATTTTGAGACTTTTTGGTTGGTTGTATTTTTATCTTCAGTTGATCCCTGGTAATGAATCTCGTGTAATGAAAATGCTAAATCGCATATTCGAGATTGGATCAACTATAGTAATAGGTACGAAGGGCTGCATACATCTGGCCATGGTTATTGTGGTGAACTTGTAAGATTTCTTATACATTTCGTATAGTTTTTTTTTTTTATTATAGTTTATTTTATTTTTCTCATGTGATCAACCTATTTAGAATGATATGAACACTGATTATTTATAGTACGATTCTAATCAAGCAATTTCTATTTGAAGGAGGAAGTTCTTAAAATTGTGAAGCCACGCCATTTTCTACCCATTCATGGAGAACTGTTGTTTCTAAAAGAGCATGAACTCCTTGGGAGATCAACTGGCATTCGACATAGTACAGTGAGTCCATGTTTCCTTTTCATGCGATATGATTTTGGTGACTTCATATAATAAATGAGAATTTGTATTACATCCTCATATGTTTTGTCAATTGGTTATAGAAGACTCCTATTTAGTGCATTTCAATGGGTCTTCTTGTCCCTTAACCAAATATTTGTAACAATGTGACAAAAAATCTGTTTTGTCTAATTGCATTGGTGCATGATTCACTAGCAAGGATATATGTACTGTGATTTTATTTTGACATTTTCATGTGAAATGTTCAAAATTGCAAATGTTACTAAAGTATGGTACCTGAAATGTAATTCGTGCAATCATATCAGGTTATAAAGAATGGAAGATGCTTGGTGTTTCCCACTCGAGGAATAGAAGAGTACTTTCTAACGGTTTTATTTCTCTTGGGAAGGAGAATTTGCAGGTTAGTAGCTATTTGAAGTTTCATTGTCTATTATGAGATAGTAACTGGCAAAACTACTGATAACTTTTTTATTTTATATTGCAGTTGATGTATAGTGATGGTGATAAAGCATTTGGCAAAACTACTGAACTCTGCATTGATGAGAGACTAAGAATTGCTTCAGATGGAGATATTGTGGTCAGGTAGATCTTTTAATCTTTAAATAATTACATATATTTGTTGTATGCAAAATTCATCTTGACAATGCACCACTCCAGCATGGAAGTTTTACGCCCTCAATAGAGTCTAAACGAAAATAGCTGGAAAGGAAAAATAAGAATTACTACACATTGCCTGTGGCTGGACAAAGGGAAGCTTTTAGATGCAATGTACAAACCTGCTTGAAAATTATTACATAGGACATTGAAAAATTGACAACCAATTACTAAATTCTCTCCATACAGTACCCCATGGTTTTGTTATGATTGAATTTTCTAATATTCACTTTTTTTTTTTGTGTGTGTGTGTGTGTTTAATGTGATTTTGGGTTTTATTGGTAGGTATGTATTGACAAGGCCTGCTGGAAAAAGATGCATTGTGGTATCTTCAAACGGAACAACAGTTAGTAGGCTATGGAATGGCTCTGTTTTGCATCATTTCCCATCTGCTTTGCCATGTGGGGCAAGAACTCGAGACCAGTCTGGCTCTTCTGAATCCTATTGTATACTTGACTGCATATTTCACGAGGTTTACTTTATTTTTGTTATTTCTTACAATCCGTTTGTTTCTTAGTTGTGCCTCAATGTTAGTTGAAAACCTCATAGCGGTTGTGGTTGTTGGGTGCAGTCCGATCAAACTTATTACGTCATTCACATGGTTTGTTGGCAGGGATACTCTGTCTATGATTGCACTGCTGAGTTCAGACTTTTTGCTTGCAAGTGTTATATCCAAACTCTTGAAACCCTTCATCTAGAGTGGTGCTTAACTCTATATCTTTTGATTTGATTATACTGTAATTATAACATTATGTTAGAAGGGAGTTGAGACGAGGAATTTATGATTGCATTTTTAAATACCTCAATGTAATTCTAACTTCATTTAGGTTTCAAAAACCTGCAGATGGGATATTTGTGCTGTCACTGACTCTTCTTCAAGCAGCTCATGAGTGGAAGGCAAGGAGACCTCATATTGACTCTGTAGAAGAAGAAGGTCAAGCCAAGATTTTCGCCTACTGTTTATAGCTTAAAGAGTTTGAATAACAAAGTTAGTTGTAAGTCACTAATAATAAAAGTGTCGTAGCATAAGCCTTAGTGTGAAAGTCCAGGTCAGCCATTTGTTAGTACAGCTTAGCAAGTTGATAAAGATAAGTTATTGTTGTTCCTAAAATCACGCCGTGATTATAAAAACAGAAATTAAAGAAAAATTGAATGCAAAAATGAATTTCCTTCTTATTGAAGAAGTTGGAATACAGGGGAATATATATACATGGAGTATGAACTACAGCCGTTCAACAAACTTAAAACAGATTTAACTAACTTAATAACTGATTCTCTAACTGCATAACAGATTCTGTAACTAATGCTAACTGTTGTCACTAATTCTGTAACTAATGCTAACTGCCTTTTGATACCCCCCGGCAAGCTGGAGAATGGACGTTGATCATTCCCAGCTTGGATAGAATGAGTTGAAATGGAGCAACACCAAGAGGTTTGGTGCAGATATCGGCTAACTATGAATTAAGAAGAAGAGCATGGCATGAGATGAATGAGATCTGAATGAACTTTTTCACGAACAACATGGCAATTGATTTTAATATGTTTGGTGCTTTCATGAAAAGTTGGATTAGCAGCAATTTGTAAAGCAGATTTGTTGTCACAAAAAAGTAAAGCGGGATAAGGATGAGGGACATGGAAGTCTTGAAGCAAGTATCGAAGCCATGGCAGCTCACGTGTGGTAGAAGCAAGTGCGCGATATTCAGCTTCAGAGGAGGAACAAGAGACAGTGGGTTGTTTCCTAGCTTGCCAACTGATCAAGGAAGAACCAAGAAAAATACAAAAACCAGTGACAGAGCGTCAAGTATCAACACAGCCAGCCCAATCAGAGTCACTAAAGGCTTTGAGACTCAAAGAAGAATCAGTTGGAAAAAATAAACTAGATGTAAGAGAGCCTTTGACGTAGCAGAGGACTCGATGAGCAGCTTGAAGATGAGCGGAAGTTGGTTTATCCAGAAATTGACTCAACTGTTGTACCGCAAATGCTAAGTCAAGACGAGTGGTAGTTAAGTAAAGTAATCGTCCAATCAATCGCCTATAAGAAGAATTATCAGGAAGAGGATCCCTATGGTTTTTGCTAAGCTTCAAAGAAGAGTCCATGGAGTCTTGGCAGGCTTGGAACCAAGGAAACCAGAATCAGATAAGATGTCAAGTGCATACTTACGTTGACATAAAGCAATGCCCTTGTGTGTTCTGGCCACTTCCAAACCCAAGAAGAACTTTAAATTCCCCAAATCTTTAATCTTGAAAGTATTATGAAGATAAGCCTTAACAAAATCAATTTCCACCAAATCAGTTCCAACAAGAATTAAATCATCAACATACACTAAGATAATAGTAATGGAATCAGCTGCATGTTTAACAAATAAGGAGTGATCAGAATTAGATTGAAGATATCCCAAAGAAAGCAAGGCAGATGCTAATTTGGAAAACCATTGACGACTAGCTTGTTGAAAGTCGTAAAGAGACTTCTGAAGCTTACAAACTTGATTAGAATTAGAGGAAGTGAAACCTGGAGGTAGAACCATGTATACTTCTTCAGTGAATTCACCATGCAAAAAAGCATTGTTAACATCAAGTTGCTTGAGATGCCATTGATTAGCAGTTGCTAATGCTAAAAGTAATCTGACGGTAGTGAGTTTAGCAACAGGGGAAAAAGTATCAAAAAACAACCCCCTTCAGGTTGGTATACCCCTTGCAACTAGCCGTGCCTTATACCTTTCAATAGATCCATCAGCCTTGTTTCGATTCTATAAACCATTTGAGCTGACTACAGACTTACCAGAGGGAGATCAGTGAGAACCATGTATGATTTTGTTAAGAGTAGCAATTTCAGCTTCCATGGCCTCTCTCCAACATGAGCTTAATGGCTGGGCATAAGTTTTAGGTTCAAAGGCAGTAGAAATGGCTAATGTAAAATGTTTATGTGAAAGAGATAAATTGGAGTAAGAAATAACAGAGGATAAAGGATACAATGTACCTGAGTGGGACGAGGAAGATCAGCTGAAGTTGCAAGATGATAATGGTAATTTGTAGATAAGACAGAGTTGTTCGAAGTCTAGTGATCGATGAAGAACAGGGAATCAGCGTGGAACGGATGATCAAGTAAGATGATTCTTGGGGTAAAGGTGTAGAAGGTAGAGAAGTAATTGAGGAGCTGAGATGAGGAAGGACTGATGAGATAACATAATCAAGGGAAGGAGGTTCTTGAGGTAAAGGTACAGATGGAGACAGGCTTTTGTAGTGAAAGGAAAAATTGTTTCATGAAAGAGGACATTACAAGAGACAAAAAAATCTTTTGAAGCAATATCCAAAAGAATGTACTTTAGTTCCAGATTTATAGCCAAGAAAAACACACTTGAGCTCGAGAATCAATTTTGACCTATTGGCAGACAAGTAGATGCAAAACAAAGTGAACCAAAAATCTGAGACTAGTAAAATCTGGAGGTTCATGTATAAAAGTTCAAAGGGTGGTTTATGTTGCAAAATGGAGAAGGGTCTGTTAATCAAATAACCGCATGAAAAACAATGTAGTTCCAGGAAATGTTAGGTAAATTGAACAATCATACAATGACCGAGCCACATTCAGTATATGTTGATGTTTACGCTCCACAATACCATTTTTTGGGAGTTTAAAACATGAAGTTTGATGAATTGTTCCTTTAGAAGCATAAAAAACTGGCATATTGAATTCAAACCATTTCATTTTGAAGAATTTTAATCTTGGCAGAGAATTGGTTCAATTAAAGAAAAGAAAGATTGAAGTAAAGGCCTTGTTTTGGACTTATTTTGCATTAAGAAAATCCATGTATGCCGAGTACATCATCAACAATGGTCAAGAAATATTTGTGGCCATGTATAGAGGGAGTAGAAAAGGGACCCAAATATCAACATGTAAAATATCAAAACACTTATGATCTAGTATGGCTATAGAAAATGGCAATTTTTTTGTAGCAAAATGCCAAATAGTACAACTTGAATTGTATGAAATGTAAGAGTTGGTAGATAAGTAGCCAAAGTTTGATTCTTGAATCCGACAAATGACCAAGTCTATAGTGTCAACATCAAAGGTGTATTTGTACTGGTTAAAGAAACACGAGATGGAAATGAAGGATTGGTGAGGACCTATGCATTATGTATAAGCATCTTGCATTTTAGCTGAACATCGTCTTCCACAGGTCAAATCCTGTATCAAGCAACAAGTGTTGTGAAAAATAAGACAACAATGAAGGAAAGAAGTAAGTTTGTGACAGAAATCAAATTAAAGGGAATTGGTATGTAAAGAGCACTAGTAAGAATTAAACATTTGTGAAAAATACAATGCTAGAATAGTGTGTGGTGATGCGATGTCCATTTGGTAGAGTTATTGAAATAGGTTGATTGCTTGTATGTGGCAAGGAGGATAAGGAGTGAGTAAGTGATCGTGGCACCTGTGTCACAATCCATAGTTCAGATTTAGATGAGCAGAGAGTGAAAAATCATACTGACATTGATGAAAAATTGGAAACAAGGGTGGAAGTTTGATGTGAGTGGCAACTTGATGGTATAATGAGGTGACAATGGAAGTTTCTCAATGTTAGAGGATTAGAGTAAGGCTAATACTGTGATATTGCTCTTGAATCAGAGACATACCAGCGTCAGGCTTCTCTTTGGCCAAACAGGATTAGAGCAAGAATTTTCAGAAGACTCATTTCTTCTGCAAAATCACATTATG